CCTTCAGAAGAACAAGCAACAGGTTATATGGAATGATAATTAGTTATTAACTTAAATCTGATTAAGTTCGTATTCCTTTTGCACTTTTATCACTCATGTTATTAATCATACTTTTATTTATTTATCATTGATATCAATATGCACTCATTATTATCATCACCATGTGTTTCAATGTTATTTTATTAATATAACGATCATTATTTTCTTTGATATAATATATTGCTGTTATTATTATTGTTTTTGTCCTTGTTTTAAATACCATTTTTATTATTATCGTCATCATTAGTATTGTTTATTAAAACCATTATCAATATCATTATTATTTTATTATCATCAGTATTGTTTTACCAGTAATAGAGTCGTTCTACTATTATTGTTACTAATACTACTACAATTACTATTACTAATATCATTATTAACTGCAATCACTGTCAAAATTATCATCATAATTAATACATTTATTTTTATTATCCTATTTATGATAGCGGTATTGCTATGATTATTATCATGATCGTTATTATCATCATTATTTTCATTTTTGCTATTTTCGTAATTACTAACTTTATTTCTGTTGCCATTATTTTTTTTTTTTTGTTATAATCGCTGTGTGCTTTTGGTACTATCATTATGATTTTCATCATTTATTACAGCAATATGCTTGTACTTATCATTGGCACTGTAATTGTCATTATTAATACTTGCCTAATTAAGGTCATTGCACCTTTTATTGTTCCTATCATTATCATTTTACTTAACTGCTTATATTTCGTTTTGTCTGTATCATTATAACCATTATTATTCCCTCTATATTTTTTGCATGAATTAGTATTATAGAAATACAACTCTTATCTGTACAACGTCTAAACAGTCACGTTATAATTAGAATATCATAATAAATCTTGAATATCATCGCACACCATCCATGGCCCCTTCACAATACGTGGTCTTACGGACAATCTCAAAGACATATTTACCATTCACCATCATTACTTGAAATAAACAGTGCTGATAGTGAAAAGGAGGTGTGTGTGTGTGCCACGCATAAATTGTTTTCGATGGTGTTGCCATGAACTATGAGCAAAGAGACAAAGAAACTAAAAAAGAGAAAAGAGAGAGAGAGAGAGAGAGAGAGAGAGAAATAACAACGGTAAACAGCTGTTTTGTGGTGGCACATTTGCAACGTTGCCACATCTCACCCATAATACCTCCTTTGGCAAGCAAAATAGGGTTCTGTTTTTTGGGTGGCTCATATAAGAGAGAGGAAGAAACATATATATTTCTCTTTGTAACTATGTACGCAGCACTATGGTAGTGCTTGTATATATTTAGCAAGCATCAAACTTTGCCTTATAATATAAACAAAAACAAAATAAAAAAAAATGCATTATAGTTTTTGCTTTTTAGGGGAAACCTGTTCCACGAAGCATTTGTTTTGATTTTATAAGTAATTATGATGCTTTCTTATGTTTGGTCGTTGTTTTTACTTCTGTATTATTTTGAAGAAAAAAAAATAACAGTTTGTGAAGTTTTTAGGTGCATCGTTAGTGTATGTTTGTAAGTTAAAATTCTTTAATGCGTCACTTTATTGATTTCGAATGCAATAAAACAGAGCTATATCAACTTTGCTTTTTCTTATCATTACCCTCGCAAAATCTATATATGAAATACATCAGAAAATTAACCAAAAAAAAAAACTATTTTATAAACATGTGGTGAAAACTTCATTAACAAACATTATCGTTAACGTCATTTCAGTGCCCAAAAAATACTGAGATGGTGATTATAACAAAATTTGATAACGACCGTATCAAGGATAATGGTTATGGTACTAAAAATAACAATAATAAAAAATAAAATATGGACACGATGCAATTTCATACCAAACAGCATTAGTCACTGACGGATCTAGGAAATCGGTTACAGGGGGGGGGGGGGAGGCGCTATCAGATCTGTTAATGACGTGGCCTAATTATAGGTCTATTTAAACAAGGGCGGGTCGACACTGCATTCCGGTGCTGGAGAAGTAACAACACAAGCAAGAGCACGAGTCGGCTGACCAGTCATTAACCACTGAGCTTTTTCTAGCAGCATGCAAGCACAAGAGGAGCAGCAGAACATAGGACATTGCGTTCTATAATTACGAACTAGAACATAGGACACTGCGTTCTATGATTACGAACTTTTAACATATATCTTAGTTGATCAGTCGTCCTCGCTTCAAGTACGACCCCTTGTCATGCATGATTTGGAAGTCTATGTCCTGATGCCGACAGTAATGATAATGATAGCAATGATAATGAAACCATAAAATGAAAATAATACATCATTTAACAACAAAAACAAAAATGCGATGATAAGAACAAAACAGGAACGAGTGGGGTCAAGGTATCTAAAAAAAATAATATATATATATATTTTTAATCCGTCTGTGTCACAATACTTCATGGACATCCGAGTGTGCAAGCCTCAGGACACGATACCATTGAAGTAAGTCCCAAACTGTTCTAAAGTATTATGAATGGTTACTGGTGGACATTTATTTACGGTAGAGCACAGCTGATACACCCTTAAATACCTTGCAATTGCGTTGATCTTGCTGTCTCTTAAGGCCGTGCCACACTAGCACTTTATGCGTAAATTTTTTGGCAATTTTATTTAACATAAATACAAACATTCTCGAATATAGTTTTTGATCTGAGTTGGAGAGTTGGCTGAAAAAGTTGACGGAAAGGTTTTCAGACGGAAACGATCATTATCGTCTGACTGGAGAATCGACAATTCGCTCAAAAATGGACAACATTTCAGAAAATTGTAAAAAAAAAATTGACGGAAAAAGTGCCAGTGTGACGGCACCTTTAGTGATGCATAGGTTTTTTTCTCAACATTTTGCCTTTGGTTTCATTGAGTTTTGAAAGTGTATTTCAAAGTTCAAGAAGTGAAAGAAAAGAGGGGAATAAGTTGGAAGAAAAGAAATAGAAAAAGGATAAATAAGCTAGAGGAGAGGAGGAAAGGGGAATACAAGCTTAAGAAGAAGAGGAAGAAGAAAAATGAAATAAATAAAGGGGAAAATAAGTTTAAAAAGAAGAGGATACAGAAGAAAAAGATGAAAGCTAAAAGAGAAAAAGAAAAGGTAAGAATGATCTGCCAGAGAGCAAAAATAAAGAAAAATTAGATAGAAAGAGATGAAGATAAATGAAAAAAATAGCGGAAGAAAAGGAGGAAAATAAGCTGAACAAGAAGACAGGGAAATAATCAAGAATGTGGTGAGAAGGAAAACAAGACAAAAAAGAGAGAACGAGGAGAACCACGGTCTTTATGATAGACATTATGTCTTTTCTTTTAATTCTTGTTTCATGTTCTGTTCAGTGTCGTAGTTAATTAACCCAAGGAGAGGGCGATGAAACACAAAAACAAAAATCTATGAGTAAATAAAACAAAATTAAACACATTTTATTTTTATTTTTATTTTTTGGATAAGGTTATAAATTTGCTTGCAATTTAGAAAGTCTGGCGGTGACTGCATAATCTTTACACAGAAGAAATGCATTTTCTAGTCAGTGAATCTTACAGTGATGTTGTGAGCTAGAATATGTGTTATCTCTAATCTAAGTGTTTCTGCACATGCGAAAAGAGATATTGATGTCACTAAATTATTATTGGGATCACTATTGTTACCATTATAACAAGAGTATTTTATATATATCTTTTTATCTGTATGGATGTAAATTTTTCAGAAAGTATAAAAATTCATGTTCTTCCTCTTAAATCAAGAACACGTATTCTTTTAACCAATTAATTGCTGATATAATGGAAAACTTGCCATCGACTTGGTCAGCTGTATGCGATTTTTAAAAAGTCTAACCTCGCAATTTTCTACCTATGCCACATGCTTACTCCGTGGCAGCTGGATCGCTTGCTTGCAATTCAGCCACAACGATAAGCATACAGTTCAAAGAAAACACATGAATTACTAGAAATAGTTGACACAGGCCGGCCCACGCCAGAAAAAAGGCCCCGGAAATCTGAGCTGAACTGATTTTCTACCACTTATAATTGAGTTCTGTCTTTCTGCACACCTGGTGGTGACCTAATGGACTTATGACCTCGGCAGGGATAACACACGTAAATCGTCAAACTCGAGCAAGTGCAGTAAACAGTTTTTTTTTTTTTTTTTTTTTTTTTTTCCAAGAAGAAACGAGCGAAAATCTATGCTTATGTGGACCTTATATACAGTGTTTTTAGTGTTTACGGCCTATCTGATCGGGTGTCAGAACGTCATGTCTGTATATAATAGGTAAGGTTATGATACTTGTATTGTGTGGTAAAGTTACCGCAAAGTATGCATTCAGAATCGGTTTAAGAAAGATGGAAGTTATTAACAACTGTTGTGAGACCTTTTCAGATTCAATACTTATTGTACAGTGCTCATAATATTGATTATCAAATGTATATTTTTCAATTACCATTCCCCGGTGATTCATTTAGCGTTCGTACTTCAAATGAACCGATATGAAACTATAGGAAGATGTCATAACAGGTTGATTTATTAAAAGACCGATAACTTGAAAGCGCATATGTATATTAGTGTGTGTAGAGGTTGGTTATAATATATAATAAGTGGGTACTAGTGATTATATAAATGAACATTCACAGTTGCTTGGCCACGATTGGTCTGACCCCAATGTTTTCAGCATATATTCTCGTATTTTCCCCAGTGGAATAGGAAGAGATAAAGGACAGGAACTTCTTGTCTAGCATAGAGCAAGCATCTTGAATGAAATCAAACTCTCACAAAGTTACTTGAACTGGATGGAACAGTGCGCAATATTGACACGTATCCCTTCTGAAACAAATTTTCCCGTAACCATAACTCAAGTGATATCTTCGAAATTTCATCACAACTAATTCACTCTTTATTTAATGTTCTCGTTTATTATCAAAGAGAATTGCGCAAAGTGAAGGAAACGAAAGGCGCCCATACTCCAAAGTAGCCGCCATCTCCACCAAACAGTGTCGGATGAAGTCGGCTTCACAGTGTTTACAAGCTAAAGCCAAGCACATTCGCGGAATTTCATTATCTTGATAAATATATCCAATGCTACCACGATGAAGTCCAAAACTAGGATAATACAAATATCCAACATAGCCCCACAGGCTACAAAGGATCAGATGTCGACCTTGTTTGGATTTTTAGGAAAAATTGAAGACATTCGCCTCTACCCAACCATGTGAGATTGGTTATTTTATCTGCATTTTCTCGTATTTATAAGACATTAGGGGACTCTGTTTTGTTTGTTTTTGTATACTTAGTTTATAGATTTAGAGAAGGACATGTTTCAGCATCTTTCCTGTGTATATTTTCGGTCACACCTCGTTATTTAAGCCATCTCGCAGATTATTGATAAGAGTGGAAACGTTTTCCAAGTCTGTTGCTCTTAGACTCAGTGAATAAAAAAATCTGTAATTGTGTAACTGTTAAGATGTGTATTGATGTGGAATGCACCAAACTTCAAAAATACTTTTTTTCTGATTTTCCTGAAGTTGTTTATGATTTAATTCATAAATGGCTGCCTGGTATTTCCCCTCATAAGTGTCCATGCCATTACTGCCGCTGCTTTCATGTGGTAAAATCACCAGAAACAATGGATTACATCAAAATTGATTTTAAAATGATAGTGTTTAGAAGCAGTTACACCAGCTTTGTTCAAGCAGAAGTTTTCCTGAAGTGATGATATATCATACCATAAGCCTAGATGAGAAATTTTGTTTTGTTTGCACAATAAAGACCAGATAACAAAACCCCTTCTCATATATTCTGGCAGAATAGAAGTTTTTGACAATAAAATCAAATTATCACTAAAAAATAAATGGTTATCCTTGAACCTTGGAACACATCCACTCGAAAGAAAGTCCAGCAGTCACCAGAGAGCCTTCAGTACTCAGGCGAAGGCCAACAAACCTCAGCCTCACATATTCGTCAAGATAGGGCTTGGACTGATTCCTTATTTGACAGCTGGGTTTATCTTTATGGTATGGACGCAATAAGGTAAGGCAAATTGAGTATGAGAGGACAGAAAGTTGCAGTCATTGGTACGTGAAATAATCAGCAGACAGAAATGCTAATGCCACAAATAAAGGAAAAGTTCACGGAAAGCCCCACTCTCTACCCAAGTCCACACGGTACTCCAGAGTTTCAACCCTAGGCCTATCTTGCCATACATACCAAGGTGAAGACAATGTTTCCGGGGGATATTGGGGGGCAAAGCCCTCCATCAACCTTCCCCTCGAGCAATCGGGCATGCCTAGTCACGGCAACTTAGATTGATGAATTAACTTTTTGACATGGAGTTGGGGGCCAGCCCTTGGTGAGTGCATCCATACTGTCAAGAATTACCATTATGTTCATGATGAAGTTTTAATGATCTTACACCAGAGTGCCAAAAACATGGTGCCTATAGTGAGCACTCAAGTCACTGTATATGTATTGTAATTGTGGACTCATCTGCTCTTTCTGCAGATAGTTTTCAATAGCTGAGGAAACTTTACAGACATTTCTGCCATCACTGAAGGTCAGGAGGCTCCACTACTAGGACCCCCAGGGTAAATGACCTAAAGCAGATGGGAGATACAATTTCATTCCAGAAAATACACTCTGTGTTTTTTCAATATAGATTACAGAATATTATATTGTGTGTCACCATGTAATTTACTTATTGAAAACCACATCCCTTTGTATATCAAAGCTGATTTTTTCTTCAATTTTGTTGATTGTCTGAATTGCTTGGTATTTAACTTTTTTTATTTGGATCACTTGATGGACTCAGAAATCAAACTGTGATGGTTTCTAATGTCTACTTATTCTGTATAGCCACTATAATGTCCACAATGGATACAACACTGTATATGAATCATTTCCTCGCTGATGCTTCTCAAGGAATGGAGTCACCCTGCATGGTCAAAAATATTGAATAATAACCATTGATAATTGCAAAATATGAGTTTCCATAAGTGTGTAATATTACTTAAACTAATTGACATGTTGTAATGAGTTATGTGGTCAGTGTAGTCATATCCTTTCAGGGTGAACTTAACAAGTGACAGAAAACTAGTACAACAAATTAAATTAGAACTGATTTTTCAATTAGCATTTGATGTCTGTTGTTCCCAGACAGCTTTTCTAATGTCATCAGGACATGTTATACTAGATACATTTGGCATGGAAATACTTTGTTGCTTCTTACATTTCCATCAACAGAAATCATATTTTCAAAATACAGAGAGAGCAAGATATCAGTGATGTAGGCTACATACATACATTTTAGCATCTTTATGAATTCATTTAGAGTAATGCATAAAAAATAACATTTGCCTTTAATTTCAGCCGTGATGTTGCCATTCCAGTCCAGTCACGTATCTGTTTCATCAAATTCCATGACCGGGATTCGGTTAGCGTTGCCCAGCACCTCACCAACACAGTCTTCATCGACAGAGCTCTTATTGTCATTCCATTCACCACTGGTGACATGCCGGATGAACAACGGGCAATGGAAATTTTGGGCACAGGTGGCACCATACCAGGCATTGGACAGGAAGCAAAGTGGCCAGCTCATGTTACCAACCAGGTTTGTGTGTGCTTGATATAGTTAGTTTAGTTTTTTTTTTTTTTTTTTTTTTTTTTTTTTTTTTTTTTTTAAATCTTATCTTATCTTATCTTATCTTATCTTATCTCTGAAGTTAGTTAGTATTTGCATAGGTATTTGCAAGTAGAACAGAAGGGCATGTTTTATATGTTTTTGTTTCTGATTCATTGAAATTGAATTTTTTCTTTTTCTGAAGAATTTTGATAGTGATTAAAAAATACATATTCAACAGATTGATGGTATTATTTTGAGGACTCATGACCCAGCATTGGCAGAGAATGACCTCCCAGATTACCCTCCACTGCCAGCAACAACTGAATCTCACAAGATTAACGAGATTCGACGTACTGTTGTGTTTGACAACCTTGACCCCACGGTAAGATATTACTCAAGAAAAGTTGTAATTGAATTTTGGAGGTGGTATTGGAGACATTGTAATTAGTCATTATGTCTTGTTTACAGAGGTTGTTTGACAAAATTTTCTTCCAGGTCTACAGCTTTGATAAAGTTCAGTCAGATAAACTAGAAAGTTCTGATGTATTTTACCTCAGCAATGGCTGTTACACTGCCTGGATTTTATGATTATATAAATTTTTTCTTCTCTTTCCCAGGTCACTACTGATCAGCTGATGGAGTTAGCTGCTAAAGCTGGAGAAGTGAGGTATCTGCGTTTGGGCACAGAGATGAACGGCGCAAGAAATGCCCTGGTTGAGTATTCTGAGCAACCCTTCATTATTGCAGCATTGAAGATGCACAATCAAGAGCACATGAACCGTCTCATTAAGTTAGTAGGATTTTAATATTTGTTAAAAAATGAAAATGTGTTTTATATGACGAATCTGTGTTTGTTGATTGCTATCCTGCCAGCCATTGTTTGCCATCAGTTATATATGGTCCAGTCCCACTTGTAGCATGTACCTGAGTAGAAATTTTGCTTTTTAATAAGTATTTACTTAAAGTGATCTTGATAATTCATTAGTTTATGAAAATATATTGCATCTAATGGTATGCCACAGTCAGATGGGAGAAGTTACCAAACCTATTCCCTTTTCATCTATTCAGGATCATTAAAAAGAGTGAAAGGGAACATGAATATTCTCTTATATTTGCCACAAGATGCATGCTGTCACTTCTCTGCCTCTTTTTCTAACAGTAAATGTAAAAGACAGTAGTAGGAGTAATAAGTTCTGTAATGTTCTTGAAAGTCCACTAGCAGTTTTTTTTTTATTATTATTATTATTATTATTGTTATTATTATTATTATTACTACTATTATTATTATTATTATTACTATATTATTAGTAGTTATTATTGTTATTATTATTTTATGTATTTATTTTTTATTGTTATTATTTTCATCATCATTATTATTATTTTCCTTATCACTCTTCTGTTGCTTGCTGTTGCAGATAGAAGATATGTTTTATCTCATTATTTATTGATCATATCTTCCAACAGGGTCAACCATTCCACTGTAGCCATTATAAAACCGCAAACAAAAAGCAACGAAGCAGCTCAGCGCGAGATTGAAGAAGCAATGAGAAGAGTCAAAGAGGCACAGAACTTCATAGCCTCGGCAATAGATCCTGTAATGTCCTTCTTGGATTCCTCGAAGGAAAAAAGATCGCGGTCAAGATCAAGGTGAGAATTTCGTTTAGTTTGATGTCTTCCTTTCTGTAGGTATTTGCGTTTAATTTGTTTATTATTTGGTAATGTTGACGAGTTTATTATATGTTATGTTACCTTTCTCTCTTTCTTTCTGTTTAATTTGATATATTCTGTTTGTTTCCAGTTCATGACCAGAGATAAATATTTAATATTTAAGAGAATTGTATGTTTTATTTCTAGGAATTCAGTATACAATTGTAATCATAGAATTTCTATTGTGTAAACATGATTATCTGAGAGAGTTGTTTTTTCAGGGATTGTGTGTATTCCTGCATGCTGATACCTTCGTACTTCTTGATTATAAATCTGTAAAGAATAAACTTGGGGTCTGAGGACTGTTTGTGGCTTTAGATGCACTCAGGCACAGGTGTTTGCATCCTTTTATATTTTATTTATTTATTTATTTTGTCAGTTGAGGTGGTAACAGTGTGTGGGAGGAGTTAAAATGTACAGAAAAATTACCATAGAAGGATGAATGGAATAGTTAATCAAATAAAAACTTAACATAAAAGTTATTCGTCCCACACAGGGTTATCAGCAGAATGTTTGCAAATTTCTTTGACTGTGTACTTCTAGAATTCACCAGCCAAATTACTGAAGCAAATGCTGATGAAAATAGTTTTGTTTTTTAAAAAGAACCTGTGCTGGTATTTGATATTAGTTATTTAATGGATCCCCTCTACATAATTTAC